GAACAATGCAAGTTTTCTGTTTCTTCTAATAAACTGAATTTCATTCTCTAAAATAAAGAATGTCAAATTCTAATATCTACTACGTATAAATGTGATTTCATTTGGATATGTTGTCTTTGAAGATCAAATTTACTAAGAAACACAAGATGGAGAGGCCCTGCAGTGAGCAGGGTCTGGGGTGATGTCTGTGGATCCTGATAACACTGAGGTTTCTGCAGATGCACGGGGTCGAGACCATATTGGTGTCTTTCTTAGTTAGGATTTCTATTGCTATGAAGAGATACCATGACCATGGCAACTTTTATAGGAAAACATTTAATTGGGGTTGATGGAGGAAGGTCATTGGTTAAATAAAAAGAAACTGCTTGGCCCTCATTGGTTAGAAGATAGGTGGGAGGAGTAAACAGAACAGAACGCTGGGAGGAAGAGGAAGTGAGCTCAGACTCCACAGCTCTCCTCTCGGGAGCAGACGCCTCAGAGAGACACCATGCTCCCAGCTCCCAGGCAGATGCATGCGATGAAGCTCCGACCCAGGATGGACATAGGCTAGAATCTTCCCGGTTAGCGCACCTAGGGGCGCTACACAGATGATTAGAAATGGGCTAAATTAATATGTGAGAATTAGCCTAGAAGAGGCTAGATAGAAATGGGCCAAGCAGTGATTAAATGAATACAGTTTGTGTGTTGTTACTTCAGGCATAAGCTAGCTAGGCAGCCGGGGTGCTGGGGACGCAGCCCCGCCGCTCTTATTACTACATGGGGTAGTTCACTTGCAGTTCAGATGTTCAGTACATTATCATCATGGTCAGACATGGTGGCATGCAGGTAAATTTGGTATTAAAGAAGTAGCTAAGCATCCTACATTTTGCAAGCAACAGGAAATGGTCTGAGACACTGAGAGTAGCTTGAGTATAGAAGAGCTCAAAACCCACTCCCAAAGTAACTCACTTCCTCCAACAAGGTCATACCTTTTCCAACAAGGCCACAACTCCTAATGCTGCCACTCCCTTTGGGTGCCATTTTCTTTCAAACCACCATTGTAGCCAAGGGCAATGCTGCCACCAAGGACATCCTGATCTGGGTGCCCCTGTTGTAGGAGGAGGACCCGCTTGTTCACCCAGGCTGCCCAGCTAGCTTAGCCTCAAAATAACCACACAGAAACTGTATTAATTAAAATACTGCTTGGCCCATTAGCTCTAACTTCTTATTGGTTAACTCTTACATCTTAGTTTAACCCATTTCTATTCATCTGTGTATCACCATGTGGCAGTGGCTTACAGGCTAAGTTTCAGCAACATGTCTTACTCTGGCAGAGGATCTATAGCATCTCTCTGAATCTGCTTCCTTTCTCCCAACATGCCATTTAGTTTTCCCTACCTACCCAAGTTCTGTCCCACCAACATGCCAAGGCAGAGTCTTTATTCATTTATGGTAATCACAGCACACAGAGGGGACTCCCACATCACTCTGTGTGGTCACTGGGGCCTTGGTGACATCTGGGCCTAAGCTGCTGCCAAGGGTCATGTCTGGGTCTATGTTCCTGCTGCAGCTAAGGTCCATGATGATGTCTTTGACTGGTGTTAACCCAGGGAATGAGAAGGACTATGCATGTGGAAATCCGAGTGTTGCACTGAGCCAGCCATACCCTCACTTGCCATGGGATAGCTGGCCCTGTGATAGCTAGACACTACAGCAGGAGAGCTGGTCTATGAATTGGGCAAAGATGGCTCTACTCCTCATCATGGGTCTGCAACTCACCTGGGCAACACACTAGAGCTGACCCTGTTGTCAGGACTCAGGCCAGTGAACTGGTCCTGGGGCATGAGAGCAGGAGAGCTGATCCCCCCCCTTATCTGCCATGTGGTGGCATGGGTGAGCAAAAGATGCCATCCTCCTTCTGCCATCTCCCTTTGGTGACCACCGTAGGTGAGAGAGCTGGCCCTGGGGTCATAAGAGTGAGGGAACTAGTTCTACCCTCCCCAGCTGTAGCACACAGGAGACCTAGCCATGCTCCCTCATCTGAACAGAACACTAGATCTGACCCTGTTTTCAGGGGTGCAGGTGAGCCATCGCTGAGAGCATGAGAAGAGGAAAACTGATACCCCTGTCCCCATGCCCCATACAACAATCAGGAGAAAGGATCTGGCACCTCACCTGGGCAAAACAGTAGAGCTGGCCCTGGTGGTATGACCAGATTTGAGGAACTGAGAGCAAGCAAACTGGACTTGATCCTTGCTGCAGGCTGCATTGGGTGAGCTAGCTGAGGCAGTGCTGCAGAGCTCACCTGAGTAGTGAAGATGAGAGAAAGCAGACAGGCTAACCAATCCAGCAACCACCCAGGCCTAGAACAAGGGCTATATGAGTTAGCCCACTCTAACATAAACCTCAACTATAAACTGCTGTAGCATGTGAAGGGGATGAACCTACAGATCCAAAACAGCAGGATCTCCATGACACAGAACAACAACAGGATATCCAAGAGGAGCCCCTGTGAGAATCCATTATCAGTGATGTAGCAGAAGCCAGAGGCCTCAAACCAGACCAATGACTCATAGCAGTTTGATGAATGGACTAAAGGGTAAACTGTGTGAGTCAACAAACCACATTACAGCTTCCACAATGAGATTCTTCTCTGTCTTCTTTTTGTTTGTTTGGTTTTGGTTTGGTTTTTCTTTTTTTGTTTTATTTTTGAGGGAAAGTTGCATGGGTGGAGGGTAGATGTGAGGGCTCGAGGAGATAAGTGGGATTGGGAAGCCTGATGTGAACTTCACAAAGAATCAATAAAAGTTTAAAACCAAAACAACAACAACAAACAAACACACTATGGAATTCTCCTATATTTCTTTTGAGTCTTAAATCAAATTATTAGTGTTATCAGCTAAGAGAAAGGATATGGAGAAAGAAAGTATGCCATACATGAGCTTTCCTTATGAGATGTAAAGAACCATTTAATCACCCCAGATAGAGCACTGACTGACTGACAGAAAGATTCCATGCAAATACAGCTTGGTGAAGCAATGGGTTTATTGAGGTTATATATAGGAACATGGGTGATTCATGCCAAGCTATCTGAGCAACAGACCTGCAGCTATACAACTGAAGAATCCCATCCACCTCATGAATAACACATAAAATGTTATACCTCTGAAGAATGAAGACCCCATGGGTCACATACTTGGAGCTATACAACCAGAGTCCCACAACTTACCAGCGTTTCACCTCCTACATAATATTGGGGAAAGAGGAGCTTTGGGGAAAATCTCTCAAAGATTTTGATCCCTATAATCCCTGAAAAAAATACTCCATCCCTCCACTAGGGGAAGAGTATAAGCCTGATCTCAGGAGGATTGGGAGGTAAATTATCATAGATGCTCTGATTCAAGATAGCAATGGTCATATCCATTCTGGAGGAAACAGACAAACAAGAGAAAATCACATACAAAGTGACCAGAAGTTAGAGAAACAAGGATTCTTTCCTAAAGCTATGAGTGAGTGTTCCTGAATTAGCAAATTGATTTCAGATTTGTGGCCTTCAGAACTGTCTGAGTATAAATGTCTCTTGTTTTAAGCTATTTGATTTTGTAGTAATAATTCATCATAGATTTATAGAACCAAGAGTACCTTCTCCAAATGAATTACTCATCATCTTTCTTCTCAGCTAGCCATTCTTCTAAATAAAGTGCTTATTATTGACCTACACTCCTCTGTGCAGTCTACACATACAGGCAGTAGTCATATGTATCCCCTCTTTTACACTTGTATGACTTTGCCACTAGTATATGGTTATTTTATACATTATAAACTGTATATATGACATCATAAAATTTGTATATTCCTAGGATTAACTTTCTTCTCCCTTACCTGATTCCCTTCCTTCCACAACATAATCATTAAGCTTCCACATCTTTATGTTCGGACACTGAGGAATTTAAGTCTTTTCTTCATTATTTATTTCCCTGTTCAATTTACTGAAAAGAGTCTCAAATGAATTAACTAACACTCATAAAGCAGAAACCTGGCCTTCCATTGTTCTAATCTAGTGTTTGTAAAGCATTAATAGGCTTTAGAATCACCTAAAAAACTTATAAAAACTCAGGGTTTTGGTTTAACTTGAACATTTCTGAGTCAGCTTGTCTGTAGTGGACTGTAGAGAGAGCTGTGGGCTGTGTTCCTGCTGCCCAGCTCCCAGCCCCCTGGCTAGCTTATACCCCAAAATAACGACACACAAACTGTATTCATATAAACACTGCTTGGCCCATTTCTATTAATGTGTGTAGCACCACGAGGTGCACTTACCAGGAAGATTCTAGCCTATGTCCATCCTGGGTAGGAGTTTCATTGTGTCTGCCTCAGAGAGGAGAGCTATGGAGTCTGAGCTCACTTCCTCTTCCTCCCAGCATTCTGTTCTGTTTACTCCACCCACCTATGTTCTAACCTATCAGGCCAAGCAGTTTCTTTATTAATTAACCAATGAAAGAAACAGACTGATATATGACAGTCCCACATTAGTGGACTTGTGTAATTGCATTTCTAACAATTACCTAGAAGCTGCTTCTTCTTCTTCTTCTTCTTCTTCTTCTTCTTCTTCTTCTTCTTCTTCTTCTTCTTCTTCTTCTTCTTCTTCTTCTTCTTCTTCTTCTTCTTCTTCTTTCTCCTCTTCCTCCTTCTCCTCCTCCTCATCCCCCTCTTCCCCTTCTCCTCCTTCTGCTGCTGCTGCTGTTGCTGTTGCTGTTGCCACTGCCACCACTGCGCAATGACACTATCTGGCTTCCAGACAAGCCAGTACATTCATTAGTTTCCATGAATAGAAGCTAAACCTCTGCCTCTCTCTTGAAATAAATCGTTTAACACTAATGTTGTAGTAGCTGGGGGCTACTAGTGAAAGAATTTAAAGCATGGTCACAAATGGTCCCCTTTAATATCTGCTATATTAAGACAAAAACAATATTAATTAATTGACTCAGTGTTCTGCGAAGAATCTTTTGTTTATGCTTGTTAAATCTTTTATTTTGTACTGGGCACTGTGGGTTATAGGAAGACAATACAGTAAGACATCAGATAATGATAAGGTTAACTTAAAAGGGTGATGAACTTTGAACCACAATCTGTGTTGATAAAATCTTCATGTGTTTCTGCCTTTCTGTATTTCATCTCTATGCCTTCAAGCTGTAGGAGGTAATAAGGGATAGTTAGTACTTGTAGAGCATTAACATGGACCAGCTACTTTGCAAAACGAAGAAAGCAGTCAACCTAAGATGCATGCGCTGTTTTAACATGATCTTTACACAGCATGTCTCCATCATAGCCTGGATCTTTGGGGATGAAAGTGTTCATACAGAATATGCAGTCAATCCCTCTCCTACTATAGCAACTTCATTTTTCTCACTTTTTGAGCATTGAAAAATTCTGTTTTGTTGTTTGCTTTGGAGAAACCATTCTGGAATTTTAGTATAGTCTCTTCTTGGAACCAAAAAGCAAACCCTGCTAGCTGGGCATAATGGGGCACATCTGTAATCCTAGCACTCAAGATGTGAATACAAGAGGATTCTGAGTTTGAGACAAGCCTGGCATATATAACAAGTTCTAGGAGAGTGTGGTCTATGTTATGACACTATAGGAAACACTGTATTCTCTATTTACAAATCATACTCTCTTAACCCACAAGATCTATACTAGTAAAAAGGGAAAATGGAATGATACAATTAGAAATAAACTAAAAATAAATTCAATGGGAAAAATAATCTTCCAATGACTAATTTTTAATGACTGTTAAATTAAATAGTAATAATTTTGACTAAATGAATACTAAGATACAAATCACAGTGATTCTAGTTATTAAACATTTTTCCCTGTTAAAATAGATTATTTCTGTTAGTACATGATGAAGTCTCAATTACTGTATGTAAATACAACTTTAGCCATTTGTTTTGGGTTCTCAAAATGTCATGGGCTCAACTACCCAATGTAGCAAATCTTCTCTTGATCCTTATAGCTATAGCTGAATGAATAGAAGTGAAGACCATTTGGGATAGGCAGATGGCTTGGCAGTATCCTAGAGAAGCTAGACAACAACGAGGACCCTAAGAGAGACATACATGGATGTAATCTACATGCGAAGCGGAAAAAGACAAGATCTCCACAGTAAATTTGGAGCATGGGGATCATGGGAGAGAATAGAAGGGGAAGGAGGAAGAATGTAGGGGAGCAGAGAAAAATACATAGCTCAATAAAAACAAGAAAAAAGAACAGATAGATCCTAATAAAGCATTTGAAAAGAAAAGAATGCTTTCTCTATGTGCGTGAGGGTCTGGGTTCTTATCCTAGTACCCATATAACAAGTTAGGCATGGCCTTGTGCAAACCTCTAACTCCAGTACTGAAAAAGGGAGAGACTGGATCACTAGGGCTTTCTGCTTTGTCAACCTAGCCAGAAAACCTTGAACTCTGTAGTCACAGATGCCGCCTTAAAGGAAAAGGGTGACAAATGATGAGAGGAACACACCCAATGCCCTCTTCTGATTCCTGACTGCATACATATGTACATCCCATATATGAATATACCACACTTAGTCATACACCATACTCACACACATATAAACACTCAACCACACACACAAATTATTTTTTAAAAAGATAATTAGGAACATTTAAGAACATGTTGTTGTTTGTACTATCTAGTGTTTATTACCAACCTTAAACTGAATTTAACTATTTTTTTAAAGTTTTCATTATTTGGTTTACCAAAGAAAACTTTAAAAATAACACAAGCACACACACAATATACACATACAAACATAGACAGGAATGATTGAATGCTATACACTACATATAGATACCTGGATACTACTCTTTGTTTTCAGCTGAGTTTGGATTATTGTCATCTTCCTCCTCCTGGTTTTCATTTTCAGACTCAAGGTTCCCTGTAACCGCAGCTTCTTTGGTCTCATCATGGGATCGTTCATACAGATGGTCATTTACTTCAATAAGTAAAGAACAGACATTGAGACTAGAACTTCCAAAAAATTCTGGTTTATGATCAGCAGTAATATGCTTTGTATTCTCAGTATAAAAGTAAGTAGAAACAAACAAAATACCAACAAATACTTCTGGGTACCTTCCTCAGGGGTCAAACTACATTTGCATAATCCTCAGATTGTAGTCGAGGACTGGATTGTAAGTAGTTGGTAGTTTTCAGGAACATTTCCTTCTTTGCAGTACAGCTCACATCCTGTGTGGCTAATTATTTCTGACTCTTGGGACAAGAACCACTTGGGTCTGGTGTTATTTGCAGCCCTCCCCCACAAAGAAAAATATTCATTTGCATTTATAAACTAAGACAGCATATTGTTTCTCCAGTTTCAGTGTTTTCCCAGGTTCACACGGGTGTCTAACTACCACAAAGCCTGCATGGGCCCTTGAGCAGGATGCGATTGTTACCACAGATATGTTGTATAGAAGGACATAGCAGACCTCGATTAAAGTGCCAAAATTCTGACACAGATAACTCACCAGTGCCTGTGACGATTTCAGTATGCTCATGATTAGCTTCATCGTCATCTGTATCATCCTCTTCCACATTGTAAACCCAGCTCAGGTCTTCCATGAGCTCTGCTTGATTCTCCTCCTCATCATCATCATTTATGTCCTGCTCATGAAACACAATGACCTCGTCCCCATCATCCAGTATCAGGTAGAATTCCAGTTCTGCTTCCAAAGCCACAGGGATCAAGTTTTCTGGAACTAAGTTCACATATTCTTCAGGCACGAAACCTTCTTCATTGATCAGATATGGGCCCATTTGTCTACCAACTTCAGCCTGATCTCTTGGAGATGGGTTTCGCTCTTGGTTATAAAGCATGGTGTAGCACACACCTGTCAAGAAATATGGTTGGTATAGCTGTTTTCTGGGGAGGAACACTACTGGGCAAAAAAAAAAAAAAAAGTTCTGGGGGTTGGTGAGGACAACTGCTACTTTACTCTGAGACCTCAGATGAGCAGGAAGGATTCACATTGGCAGTTGGCATGGGCAGACCTAGAGGAGTCATAAAATACCAGCCTATTTTTCTAATATGCTGTAAGCTCATTTGCTGAGAACTGATGATTGACATAGTTTGTGTCCAATGAATAACCTAGGTTCTTTGCAAGTGGTTTATCTTAGCTACATGTCTCTTGAGTCTTTATGTTTCTGGGCTAACTTTAGATTCACTGATGCCCTATCTATCTGACAAATTCCACCATTGCCAGAAAAAGTAAAGTGTTATAATATGTTTGTATGTTGTGGCATGATACACTATGATGTTTACCCTCCTGATTTCAACCTAGGGAGGACTCATGTTAATAGGGACAGAAACATTAAAAATAGTATAGAAACCAGGACTCAGCAGTTTTATAAACCTCTCAGAGCAAAAGGAGATTAATATTGTTTGGATATTTTAGTGTTAGTAAATGTATTTATTTTAAAAGCATATAAAGTTGAAATTTAGAATAGGTTGAAGAAAAGTTTTTTTTATAGCAAAGCTGGTTGTTGTATAGCATGCACTTGGGAGGCACTTGGGAGGCAGAGGTAGATGGATTTTTATTGACTTTGAGGCCAACCTGGCCTACATAGCACACTGTAGGCTAGCCATAGTTATAAAACAAAAGAAAGAAAAAAGAAGAAGAAACCAATCCATCATCACCACTAAAAATAAAATTTTAATGAAATTAACAAACAAAACTAGAAGGATTTAATGAGTGCTTCTCAGATTACACACAACCTCCAAAGGGTGCATAGGAATAAGACATTAAAAAACAACTATACTATCCACCTCAGATTATGCCTCTTCTGTCTCATTCGGAGAATGTGGCCTTTACTCTGCATTGCAGAAATGCTTGACTTCTAGTTGACAGGAAACTATCATTCAGACTCTATCAACACTTGATCACTATAAAACTCCAGACTGCCCAACTCCAGGTGTCTGGAAAATATTGTTTTTCTGCATGTTGCCCCTATAAAAATCTAGTACTTCTCTAAGATCTTGGGAAAAGAGGAATTGAAACTAAATTTCTCCTTCTTTCAGGTGTCTATCATCTTCATTAAAGCTATTCTCTTTTCTCAACACTTGTCCCTTGGTCACTGATCTTGGTGACATGCTTCTGAGTAGAATTATGGCAACAGATAGTTTCTCAGGAAACAAAATAAGACTCTGACTTGCCAATTAGCCCCTCCTAAGCCATGGCCTTGATTTAAAATGTTTCTTAAAATTATAGAGACAGATGTTACATCAAAGTTTTTTTTAAAAATAAAAGAAAAAATGACTTGTGCATCAGATTATTTTTAGAAAAAATCTGTATTTACTTTAGCTTTAGAAATATCAGATTTCAGGAAAAAATAATACCAATAAATCTCTTTCATAACTCTAAACAAATTGCAATGTTTTTAAATTTTGCCTCTGGCGCCCACCTTAACATGGGAGCACAGTGGTCATCACTCCTTTGGTTTAAATTTGGAAGGGAATGTAGATAAATTCTAACCCAACAACAAAACTGGATAGCAATCAAATCACGCTGAGATGGAAACTTGGTTTTACCCTGAGCTCTCCCATGTGACTTTTGGTATATTGTTTGTCATTCTCAGACAGCAGTTTTACAATTTACCAAATTAATGAATTGATCCCCTTGTTGCTACATAAGACTTCTTTGAGAATCATTTAAGGTAGCAAGCACAAAAGCACATTTTGTATTGTAGTATACTATATGTATATAAATCAACAGGTTAAGTATCCCTTACCTTAGATGCTCAAAAAGGATTTTGTTTATAGTTCTTTTAGATTTTCATAAATTTGTGTTTATATAGTGAAATATCTTGATAATGGGACCCAGGTCTAAATATATTCATTTTCTGTTCATAATCTTCTACAATATTTTTGAATACCTAAAATTTGACATTTACCTTTAATATTAGCACAATTATGAAATTTCTGCTTGTAATATTATATTGGATTTCTTTTGGATTTTGAAAAATGTCAGATTTAGGATTTGGGGTATATTAAACCTCTAACGCTTTTGTCTCAATCTTGTATTTGTGTGAAGCCACTGATTGTTATTTTCTTCATCCCCCAGAGTAAAATCTCTAATTTGGTTTTAGAGGAATCCATTTTCCCATATACAATATTTGTTAGCAAAAGTACTACTTTTTTTCCTATAAAGCTTCTGGGGAGTCTCCGAAACTTGTTCTCTGGAACAGGGGATTTTCAGTAGACAATTGACTGCACACCACGGCAGAGTAGCACTGCAATGACTTGGGTACTTTGGATTTTTTTGCAGGACATGGGGTCAGGAAGAGAGACATGTAAGGGAAAATGGGATTGAAAGCAGGAGGGAAACTCTGTCTCACATAGATTTTGTACCTCCCTATGCATACAGATTCAATGCCACAGTAAATGGGACCTTCAGGAAGAGAAGTGTTAGTCATGTCATAACTTCTTATACCTGGAACAGAAATAAAAGTATCAGAAGGCAGAGGACATTTGTAGCTGCAGGCATGAATGGGCTACTATCACTGATAACAGATAGAAAAGAGGATCCCGGACCTACATTATCCTTCAAAGAGTAGTTTTTCCATTTAGTTTCTGCTTTCTGAAGCTTAGATTGTTGCGAGCAATCCTAACAAAAATCATCTAAAGAAGCTATCTGAGATATGTTTTTGGTCTTAGCAAACTTAACATTTGTCTTGATTAGAGTTTCTATTTATATCATGAAACACCATTACCAAAAGCAACTTTGGGCAAAAACAGTTCACTACATCTTACAGCTTATAGTCCATCACCAAGGGAAGTCAGGGAAGAAACAAGCTGGGAAACTGGAGGTAGGAACTGAAGCCAGGACAATGAAGTAGGGCTGCTTAAAGCATCCTCCCCAGGTCTTACTCAGCCTGCTTTCTTATGCATGTTTTCTTATGCAAAGCAGGAACGCTAGCTTAGGAGTGCTATTGCCCACCCTGATCTTGGTCCTCCTGAATAAGTCATTCATTAAGAAAATGCTCTACACTTTGCTTTACAGAAGCTTCTCAGTCTCAGGAAGTCCCATTTATTCAATGAGGCCCTTAATGTAAAAAACAAGGACTTCTTGAATTTTGCATACAAATGGATGGAAATAGAAAACACTATCCTGAGTGAGGTAAGCCAGACCCAAAAAGAGGAACAGGGGATGTACTCACTCATATTTGGCTTCTAGCCATAAATAAAGGACACTGAGCTTATAATTCGCGATCCTAGAGAAGTTAAATAAGAAGGTGAATCCAAAGACAAACATATAGGCATCCTCCTGAATATTAACCTTCATCAGGCGATGAAAGGAGACAGAGACAGAGACCCACATTGGAGCACAGGACTGAAATCTCAAGGTCCAAATCAGGAGCAGAAGGAGAGGGAGCACGAGCAAGGAACTCAGGACCGCGAGGGGTACACCCACACACTGAGACAATGGGGATGTTCTATTGGGAACTCACCAAGGCCCGCAGGCCTGGGTCTGAAAAAGCATGGGATAAAACCGGACTTGCTGAACATAGCGGACAATGAGGACAACTGAGAACTCAAGAACAATGGCAATGGGTTTTTGATCCTACTGCACGTACTGGCTTTGGGGGAGCCTAGGCAGTTTGGATGCTCACCTTACTAGACCTGGATGGAGGTGGGCGGTCCTTGGACTTCCCACAGGTCAGGGAACCCTGATTGCTCTTCGAGCAGATGAGGGAGGGGGACTTGATAGGGGGAGGGGGAGGGAAATGGGAGGCGGTGGCAGGGAGGAGGTAGAAATCCTTAATAAATAAATAAATTTTAAAAAGTTTCTAATAAATAAATAAAAAACAAAAAAGAAAAAAGAAAATGCCCTACAGAGGCCAATCTGATAGAGGTGTTTTATCAACCAAGAGTCCCTCTTCCCACATATGTCTAGATTTCTGTCAAGTTGACAAAAACCAAGTAGCACAGTGTTGTACAAACTTCCCCCAGAACAACCTGGTCATCTTAGAGCATTCATATTTAACTTCTGAGTAATAAAAAGGATGCAAAAGCATCTTTTCACCTCTCAGGATGTTGTCACATGTCACTGAAAACATGTGAACCCTTTTTACACAAAAAGATATCAAGGCCCTGCTTTGGTCTGAGTGTTTGTGTTCCTCTCAGATATCAAGATTAAATCCTACACCGTGGGGCTTCAAGTAAAATGCTTAACGCATGAAAACATGACTTTGATTCATAGAAGCAATGTTAAAAAGGTGGGCAATGGTGGTGCATGTCTGTAATCCCAGTGCAGGGGTCATGGGGGCAGAAACAGATGGATTCTCCAGCTCTTCCTGGCCAGCCAGAATACTCTATTGAATGAGATCCAGTGAGAGACCTTGTCTCCAAAAACAAGGTGAATGGAGAAAGTCTGAGGAGCTACAGCCAAGATTGTTTTCTTGTCTTAAAAAGGCATGTGCGCATGCGCTATCACTCACATGAACACAGACTTGTACAATCAACACACAAATTGGTTTTACAAAAGAAACTCCACTACTTGAGATGGTAGTGTTAAGAGATGGTTCCCTAAGGATGGGTTGAGTTTATGGTAGCATAGTCCTCATGGGTAGGATTAGTCCCCTCCCAAAAGAGGCCTTGTCATATTCCTTTATCACGTCTACCTTGAAGATGTAGGCATAAGGTGCCATCTATGAGCCTGAAAGCAATCTGTCAAATGAAAATTGTGATGGCTAAGTTTTAGATGTCAACTTTACAAAATATATTATCACCTGGAAAAGGCTTTGGGTATGTCTGTGGTGGGGGGATATCTGGATTGAACTGGGAGATGTGATGAGGCCCAGTCCACCGTGAGCAGCACCATTTCCTGAGTTT